AAAAAAAAAAAAAAAAAAAAAAAAGATACAAGATGATGCCTTTCCTTTACTCCACCCATTTAGGGTACCTATTTATGATAAGAAGAGTAGTTCCTGGGGTCTGACGGAGCTCATGGTCTAACAGAGACAGATCCACACACACACAAATGACTCAAATAATAACAGCGAGAGCATAATGAGTGTTGTAAATAAAGTGCTACAAAGCAGGGGAAATCTTTCTGTTGGGAAAAAAGAGATGCTGTGATGGGAGTGAATTGGGGAGGTCCTCAGGTAGGAGTTCAAGCCATACAGGATTAAACACCCTTTAGGGGGTGGCGCCTGTGGCTCAAGGAGTAGGGCGTCGGACCCTTGTGCCAGAGGTGGCGGGGTCTAGCCCGACCCTGGCCAAAACGGCAAAATAAATAAATAAATAAATAAATAAAATTAAATAAACACCCTTTAGTAGGTGCTGAGTAAGTGTTAACCTGTCTTCTCTCCCTTCACATTCCTACCAAGCCCTCCTTCCCTCCGCAGCATGCCTTTCCATGCCACTGTGCTTTTTGCGTCTGGTTTTCTCCTCACGGAATGGAATGTGCTCGCCAGAATGAATGAACAGTGACACGATAAGGAGGTCGGCAGAATATAAAGCATGAGGTAACAGTTAAGCCCACCGGCTATGGAGGCCGGTCTCCGGCTCCTCAGCTGGAGTTAATAAGATTTATTTCATAAGGTTGTTAAGTGGATCAAAAGGACAGTCCTGTAAAGCTTTTAGCATCACGTCTGCACTGAATGAACGTTCAAGAAATACCCCCAATTTATGTGCGAGCGTGGCGACCTTCGCCCGCCCCGCCCTGAGTAGGGGCCGCCCCCGGTCTGCCTCTCCAGCGCCCAGGGCACCCAGCACCGCGTGGGTGCGGCCACGTCGCCTCCTCTCAACCCCCCGACACCAGGGTTTACTAGACTGAACCCGGCTCTAGGTGCCGGGTGAACCGGCCCGCGCCCTACACCCTGCCTGTGCTCTCGGATTGGCTGCTGCAGATGCCTTTCGTCATAGGCCTCTGACGATTGGCTGCAATGCGAGAGGTGGGGCGGACCTCGGTGAGCGAAGGAAGGGCGGGGACCCGGATGTGTGTGGTGGCGGCGGCCGAAGAGCTTGTGTGCGGATCTGAGAGGCCTATGGATGAGGAGGACGCGGCGGCCCCGGTAGGCGGGGATCGGGGGCGGGGTCCCGGAGGCCTCAGGTCTCCCCAGAGCCTGAGGCGGGGGTCCTGGGCGGGGGTTCCACGGCCAGGGGCGGGGCCTCGCGCTCTGGTTGCTGGGTTTCCTCAGTTGGCGTACCCTTGGCCCTGCTCTGGGCCGGGGTCACCGGGCGTAGTCAAGTGGACCGGCCCGGGCTCCGTTGCCCCCAGGTCTCATTTGAGTGATCAGGCGGTTTCCCGGGCGGAGGCAGGGCCCAGCACGGCCGCAACTCGTCAGTGCCAAGGCTATGGGGTTCTGGGCAAACAGATGCCCTTAGATCTAGGTCTCCAGCATCTCCCTGGGTCAAGCCCTGGCTGAGTGCCCAAGAGTGGAGTCCTAGGGCTGCCCCACACGTGCCTACTCTTCTGGGTCACGTGGCGGATTGTAGCTTCTGCATAAGAGTCCTAACGTGCGCAATGGCACTGAATTCATCCCAGCCAAGACTCTTCCTCAACACCTACTGTGTGCAAGGCAATGTCAGGTCTTGATAGAACCCCTGTCTCAGGATTTGGGGAATGGGATACTACTACTATAGAAGAGTACTTCACTTCTGGCTCCCAGTTCATTTATTCATATAACTGCTGGTGGTTTAAATACCTGGATTGTCCCGCCCGTCTCTATCATCATTTCTCCTTCTGCTGTGCTACCTGTCAGCTAGAATGCAGCAACAACCTCCTAACTGTTTGCCCATTTCCAGTCCTCTTATGATCAGTTCTCCAGCCAGCAGCCTGAATGATCTTTAAGATCTGATGAACTGGCTTGGTGCCAGCCACATACACCTAAGGTGGTGGGTTCCAATCCAGCCTGGGCCAACCAAACAACAATGACGGCTGCAACCAAAAAAAATAGGGAGCGTTGTGGCCGGCGCCTGTGGTCCCAGCTACTTGGGAGGCTGAGGCAGGAGACTGGCTTAAGCCCAGGAGTTGGAGGTTGCTGTGAGCTGTGATGCTACGGCACTCTACCCAGGGGAACAGCTTGAGGCTCTGTCTCAAAAAAAAAAAAAAATCTGATAAACTTTAATATTTTAGGCTCAGCGCCTGTGGCTCAAGTGGCTAAGGCCCCAGCCACATACACCTAAGGTGGCGGGTTCGAAGCCAGCTCGGCCAGCCAAACAACAATGACGGCTGCAACCAAAAAATAGCCGGGCGTTGTGGTGGGCGCCTGTGGTCCCAGCTACTTGGGAGGCTGAGGCAGGAGACTCGCTTGAGCCTAGGAGTTGGAGGTTGCTGTGAGCTGTGATGCCACAGCACTTTACCCAGGGGGACAGCTTGAGGCTCTGTCTCCCCCCAAAAAAAAAACTTTAATATTTTAGCTTTTCCGTGCTTGAAACTCTCCAGAAGTTTCCCATTACACTTGGAATAAAATCCAGACTCCTTACCGTGGTCTGTACGTTGTTCTGGCCTGCCTTTTCATCTATATTCCCCCTCACATTCTCTACCTATCAGCTGTCCTAGCATTCTTTCTATTTCTTTACTGTGCTAGCTCCTGTCTATCCAAGGACCTGTGGCTGTCCCCTCTGCCTGGAATCTTCTTTTTTGGGTTTGTCATATGCTTGACTCTTTTTCAACTCAAATGTCATCTCCTCAGAGAGACATCTTTTCTCTTCTCTCTGCCTACTGCTCCCATATTCTTTATCCTGTTACCCTGTTTTTTTCCTCTAATGTCTAAAATTGTCATGTCTGTTTATTGTCTGTCATGTCCACCTCCTCCCTGAGTGGAATGAAAACCATATGAGGACAGGAATCCCATCCATCTTGATCACAGCTGTCTCCCTAGCACCTTGAACATTGCACTCAGTGGGAGCTCGGGAAATTTGTTGATTGAGGGGATGAGGGTGGGATTATTGAGGTCAGTCTGGGCAATTGACCTCAAGCCCACTCCCCTGTGAATTCTGGGTCCAGCAGGCTGAGGTGCTTTACTCAGGGCCTTGCTTCCTCCTCAATCCCCTTTCCTCCTTGACAGGTTTGTTCTCATGAACAAGATGGATGACCTCAACCTGCACTACCGGTTTCTGAATTGGCGACGGCGAATCCGGGAGATTCGGGAGGTCCGAGCTTTCAGATATCAGGAGAGGTTCAAACACATTCTTGTAGATGGAGACACTTTAAGGTGAGTTCAGGGGAATGCTTCTACATTTTCTTTTCTGCTCCAGATCATAGTGGTGAAAGGGGGCTTTTTCAGAGGAAGGGGACTGTCTGCACTGCATTGTGAGAGGGAATGCCCTTAACCCTAGAGGTTCTTCTGAGAGGAACAGTGTGCACTGTTTCACCTTGCACTCCCTTCTGCCTTCCTCACTGGGATACAATGAGGGCCTTTCCTGTTTAGGCATCAGAAGCAGTCATGTCAAGAGGCTGCTGGAGTCTCAGGAGTTCCCCAAGTGCTCTGTTGAGAAGACTCCAGTAGGTCTGAGTCTCCTGCCTACATCTTAGGAATTGTGTTTGGTAAAGATGATAGATTTCCTGTTTTGAGAAGGATAGTTCTGTAGTGCATCCTGTCTACCACTTCTGATATCTTACCAACCCTTTGGTTTGTGTGTTTGTTTTGTCTTTTCTGGCTTGAACTCTTTCCCTGACTCCTTCTGAGGCTGTTCTCTCATAAAATTATTACTGAAAGGGAAAGGAAGTAGTGTAATTTATCCAGAAGGGAAGAAAGCTGAGGAATGGGGATTGAATAACTGTCTTCTAATCTACAAAGAGCTTTGGTACAGAGGGTAGCAGCTCCACTAAGGACAGAGCCAGAGAAAAACAGCCCAAGCTGCAGCAGCATGAGGGACTGAGGTTAGACAGGTTGTGAGACCCCTCCCAGGCAGCTAAAGGAGGCTCTACATTCTTTTCCCTCTGGAAATGAAGAAACCAGGCTTGCATTGGTCTGGTATGGGATGGACCCTGGCTAGAGGCAGCAGGAGGGGTAGGGTGTGGTTACCTTAAGGATCTTGTTATGGCGTCTATGCAGATGTCCTGAAGTGTGGTCTGATGAATTCTCCTCTCTGCTGGCCCTTGGAGGGTAGGGGTTAGGGATGCTGAGACCCTCACACCAACTCCTGCACTAGATTGTTAATGAAGCTCCCCCCTCATTCCTCCTTCAGTTACCATGGAAACTCTGGCGAAGTTGGCTGCTACGTGGCTTCTCGACCCCTGACCAAGGACAGCAATTATTTTGAGGTGATAAACGTAGTGGGTGGGCAGAGCAGGGGATGAGATCAGGAGTGAGATCATTAAGCTCCAAGGAAGTCCTTTACTAGATTCATGATCTGGTGCTTTTAATTTTCCATTGGTGTTGTCCTGTTGACTGGGAACAGTGTGCACGATAACATGGACTTAATCTGAGAAATAGGTGCCCTCTCCCTTTTGCTCCCTTGCCCCTTATCTAGGTAGACCTTGACCCATGTCCTTCCCCTACTTCACCCCAAACCAAACATCTATTTCAGTGGTTCTCAACCTTCCTAATGCCAAGATCCTTTAATACAGTTCCTCATGTTGTGGTGATCCCCAACCATAAAACAATATGGGGAACTGTATTAAAGGGTTGTGGCATTAGGAAGGTTGAGAACCACTGATCTATTCCATCTCCTATCTTTTTCCTTTTTTTTTTTATTGTAGAGACAGAGTCTCACTTTATTACCCTTGGTAGAGTGCCATGGCATCACACCGCTCACAGCAACCTCCAACTTCTGGGCTTAGGCGATTCTCTTGCCTCAGTCTCCTGAGTAGCTAGGACTAATGGTGCCCGCCACAACGCTCAGCTATTTTTTTGTTGTAGTTTGGCTGGGGCCAGTTTGAACCCACCACCCTCGGTATATCGGGCTGGCACCCCACCCACTGAGCCACAGGCACCTCCCACATCTCCTATCTTTTTCCAAAGCTAGGAAATAATTTTCTACATATTCATAGTAAGGTAGGCCCCACTCTGCCCAGTTCTCCCTATGAGCATCCTCTCTTTTTCTCTGATTCCCATGTGTTTTTGTCTCTTTGAGGCTCAGCTCCCTTTGATCTCTAACTCCCCTTCTTCCTACCTCCAGCAATTCATCCCATTACCCATCCTTGCAAGTTTTTTTTTTTTTTGGAGACAGAGCCTCATCCTGGGTAGAGTGCTGTGGCGTCACAGCTCATAGCAACCTCCAACTCTTGGGCTCAAGTGATTCTCTTGCTTCAGCCTCCTCATCACTCTACTCATCCTGGGTAGAGTGCTGTGGCGTCACAGCTCATAGCAACCTCCAACTCTTGGGCTCAAGTGATTCTCTTGCTTCAGCCTCCCAGGTAGCTGGGACTATAGGCCCCCGCCACAATGCTTGGCTATTTTTTGGTTGCAGCCGTCATTCTTGTTTGGCAGGCCCAGGCTGGATTTGAACCTGCCAGCTCAAGTGTGTGTGGCTGGCGCCTTAGCCGCTTGAGCCACTGGTGCCGAGCCCATCCTTGCTAATTAGGTCCCACTTTCTTCCCCCTAGGTATCTATTGTGGACAGTGGAGTTCGGGGCACCATTGCTGTGGGGCTGGTCCCTCAGTACTATAGCTTGGATCACCAGCCTGGCTGGTTACCTGACTCTGTGGCCTACCATGCTGATGATGGCAAGTGAGTTGCTTCCTGTGGAACCTGACCTATTTCCTATGGATTTGGGAACCTTAGCTATGAAGGACCACATCAGGATGGCTTTTCCCATTCTTTTCTGTCTTTGGCAGGTTTACAGACTTAGAGGGGGGTAGTGCTCATTCCAGGACATAGGTGGGTACCATCCCAGAGTGACTCAGAGCAGCTAGGTGAGGTAGTGGAGAAGTTGGGAGGCCAGGCTTGGGTTCTGTGTCTGTGCTACTCTGTCCACAGGCTGTATAATGGCCGAGCCAAGGGCCGCCAGTTTGGGTCAAAGTGCAACTCTGGGGACCGGATTGGCTGTGGCATTGAGCCTGTGTCCTTTGATGTGCAGACTGCCCAGATCTTCTTCACGAAAAATGGGAAGCGGGTGAGTGAGAAATCCTGGGTAGGATTTCAGTGGCTTGAAGCTGCCTAAGGATTCATAGCAGTGATTAGGAAGAGTGCACTGGCTGGGGCTTGCCCAGGAGCCCATGTGCTTATCTCCTATCTTCCTTCAGTTCAGCCTCAGATTCTCCTGAAGCCTCCTATGTGTAGAAGACACTTCCCCATTATAGGCATAGAGGGACAAGTTCACGTAGCAAAGAACAAACAGAAATTGTGGGGAACAGAATTGAGTGATACTAGAGCAGACAAAAAGAAAACAACAAAGAGATGCAAATCAAAGGTCATGGCAAATCAAGAAGGGGGGGAGGGACAGGTTGAAACCCCCGACCCCCACATGGGGTATGGTGCCCATTGTTCGGTGATGGGCACACTAAAAGCCCCAACTTAAGTATTATATAAAGTATCCATGTAACAGAAACGTGTACCCCTTTTATATTTTGGCAGTTAAAAAAAAAGAGGGTAAGATGATGGCCTGGGTATGTAAACTCAGGCTTCTCTTTGGGTTTTTGACTTGAGTACTATTGGAGATATGTCATTTCTGTGTTATATTTTCCTTACTTCACTTCTCCTTCCCTTTCCTCTTCAGAGAGAAAAGAGTAGTGATGAAGAGATGGAGCAGAGCAAAGAGAAGAGAGAGACACCCTACCTCTCTTCTCTGTCTAGCTCCATTTCTCCCCCTGGGAAAACTGCTTTCCCAGGCTGTGACTGAGCACACCTGTTCCCTTAGCACAGGTGCCTCCGTGCTTTCCTGCTCCAGTGCTACTCAGTACTGTATTTGGCAGCTAGGCAGGGGACTCGTGTTTGTCTTCTAGCTCTGTGAATACCTTGCTTGGCCAGGAGTTCTTAGCAAATTTTTAAACTCTAGGTTTTCTTTGACAATGTGTGATAATTATTTATTGCATCATCTTAAAAGTACCCTTGTGAGAATTAGGTGAGTTAAGGAAAGTGAGCCAGGTGGCCATTTTCTCTCTCTCCCTCTATTGCAGGTGGGCTCTACCATCATGCCTATGTCCCCGGATGGACTGTTCCCAGCAGTGGGCATGCACTCCCTGGGTGAGGAGGTGCGACTGCACCTCAATGCTGAGCTGGGCCGTGAGGACGACAGCGTCATGATGGTGGACAGTTATGAGGACGAGTGGGGCCGGCTGCATGATGTCAGAGTCTGTGGGACTGTAAGTAATGGGCATGGGGGAGGGTTGCACTGGGGGAGGGCTGGGCAGGACACCTGTGGACACATGAGCATGTATGAGTGACTTAGGATGGGAAGAGAGAGAGTACAGTGTTTTTTGTGAGATTTTGGCAGGATAGCCTGGGACCTTGACATGGTTCTGAGTCCCGATCTTTAGGCTCGATTCCTTCTCTAACTTACCTCTTCATTTGATAACTCAGGTTAGTTGTTTGACTTTTGAAACAAGTAGAAATTCTCTTTTGCCTTTTTTGGTTCTTTCAGCTTCTGCCTTTGAGGGGCTGGAGGCTGGTTTGGAGGCAAGATGCCAGGACTCCCTTTTGATTTGATCCCAGTTCAGCTTTGCTGTGTGGCAGGTGTGGTCACACATCCACATTTGTAGGGGAGGGTTCTTTGCTGATCTTTTTTGAGTAAGGGTCAATGTTAGTTTCTGTTGTCTTCCCCTTACTCTTGCTAGAGGATGGGAATGGAGGCAGATGAGCCTGTTTCGGCCATCTTCTCCTCACGCCTGCTTTAGTCCCTCATGGATTTTAAGCTTTCTTGGGAAGGTCATGGGCCTTGAGAGAAGGAAATTCTTCCTGTCACCTTGCATGCCTCATGCTGCGCTGGGAGTGAGTGGTCCCAGGTCTGGGTGTGGCCCTGACCTCTAATGTGCTGCTCAGGCCTCCCACTTTGAACTGCCCAGGCCTCCCACTTCGAACTGCCCCTGTGCTACCCCTTTCGCCTAGCCTGGCCTTTTTCTCCACCCTCTGGTCTTCTCACTCCAACCCAAACTGTTTTCAACTCAGCCTTTGATAGCAAAACAAGAAGCAGTGGGGGGTGGGAGTGGATTATGAGCCAGGCTTTTCCCTTGTGGAGTTCAAGGTAAGTGGAACTCAGAACAAGTGGCAGAAAGCATGCCCTCTTGCTACTTCTGATGCTTGGCACTCCTATGGGCACTGGGAGTCCCAAGGCTGCAGCCACCGTGAACCAGGAGGCCTCAGATGCCCACTCTTGACTCTCACCTCTTTCCTTTCTTTTCTCCTTCTGCCATCATTTTGGTCAACATTTACAGAGTTGAACTTGGGACTGAGCCAGGGCGATGTTCCAGCTCTCATCCCTGACCTCTCCTTAAAAGTTTTTTCCTGGCATCCTTTCCCTGCCTGGACCTGTCTCCACTCTGCCCCCAGCTCCTCCCAGGCAATCTTTTCTAATTGTTGCAGAATCCTGCAGACATTTATAAATAGCTTCCTTCCTCCCCACCCTCCCTCAGGCCACTTATTTAAGAATTTTTTTCTTTCTTAGACCCAAGCTGTCAAGTTTGGCTCTTCCCTCAAACCCTGGGGACAGCTGGCAGGGTGGGAACACTGCTCTGAGTACTTGCTCCTCTGGGGCAGATTGGGCATGAGCCTCTTTAGGGGCGTGTGCCTTCTTCTAATCTTGCCAACTATCCTGTCTTTCAAACAGGGGTGACTTACTCAGTTTCTTGCATCCTTTTGGGTGTTCCAACCCCACTTGGCTCCTGGCTTCCTCCCTCCTGTTCCTTCTTACCATCCGCTTGGTATTTATGACCCAATGATCACACTTGTGGCAGCCTGGAGGAGCCTGGGAGAGGATATTCAGGCCATTCTGGTGCCTCTTCTCTTTAAAGATGTCTAGCATAGCTGTTTCTCTTCTTTGGCTTGTCTTGTTTTTTATGTCCCCCCTCTGTTGGGAAGCCCTTCCCTGGGACCCCCCCAGGCCCCTGCTGCTGTTGATGCCTGTTTCTCCTGTTCTGCATGACATTCTTAGTAGAGTGCCCTTCAGAACCATAAAGGTTTCAGAGAGGTTTTGATGTTACCTAGTCCAAGTTTTCTCTGTGGGGAGACTGCTGGCATTTCAATTGGGACAATTTTTTGATGTTAAGGACATTTAGCATTTGGCTTCCAGACCCAAGATGCCAGTACCCTGCTAGTCATTGTGACGGCCCCAAATATGCCCACACATTTACAAATATCTCTTGTTTTGCTATTGATGAAAAAAAGTCCCAGAGAAAAGTGTTTGACATTGTTCTGATGTCAAATGGTAAACTAGCAAAACTAGGTCCAGATGTTCATTCTTTGACCTTTCCACTGCTGTCCAACATATGCTCTTACCCTGTCCCCAGGCCTGCTTTTCTGTGGCCACTCATCTCCGCTCTTCTCACACCCATCCTCATAAGAAAATGGGAGTTCCGGCTCAGTACCCGTAGTACAGTGGTTAGGGCGCTGGCCGCATACACTGGGGGGTGATGGGTTTGAACCCAGCCCAGGCCTGCTAAACAACAATGACAACTGCAACAAAAAAATAGCCAGGCATTGTGGTGGGCACCTGTAGTCCCAGCTACTTAGGAGGCCAAGGCAAGAGAATCACTTAAGCCCAAGAGTTTGAGGTTGCTGTGAGCTATGACGCCATGGCACTCTATGAGGGTGACATAGTGAGACTCTGTCTTTAAAAAAAAAAGAAAAAAAAGAAAAAAAGAAAGAAAGAAAATAGGAGTTCCTAGATTTAAATTCCCATTTTCCCCAGGCTTCTCTTGTCTAGTTTCTTTAGCCAAGGCCTTCGCAGTAAGTTTACTTGGCTTGCTTGGAATTCCTTTTCTCCTAACCTTTCTCAGTTTGGGAGGTCTCAGTGATCTTCTCTTTTCTCTTCTCACTGGTTCTTCCCATGAAGAAGAACAAATTCAATTCTTGGCTCTTTTCTTTTTTCCTCCAACATTTTATTTTATTTTATTTTTGAGACAGAGCCTCAAGCTGTCCCCCTGGGTAGAGTGCTATGGCATCACAGCTCACAGCAACCTCCAACTCCTGGGCTTAAGCGAGTCTCCTGCCTCAGCCTCCTAAGTAGCTGGGACCACAGGTGCCCGCCATAACACCTGGCTGTTTTTTGGTTACAGCCATCATTGTTGTTTGGCAGGCCCGGGCTGGATTCGAACCTGCCACCTTAGGTGTATGTGGCTGGCGCCTTAGCCACTTGAGCCATAGGTGCCCAGCCACCTCCAACATTTTATTAAAAAATATTTTAAATATATAGAAAAGTTTAAAAGAATAGTATAGTGACTGTCCATATACCCACTCTCTAGCTTCAACAGTTACTAATATTTAGTCATGATTGTTTCATCTGAGTATCTGTCTATAGACACACGTGGCTTTTTCTTGAGTGGAATTCTTCTCTTGCGTTCTATGGTCTCAGTTTCCCCTTCTAAAGAGCCCCTCCATCCCCAGAGCTCTGAGGGTACTGAAGAATCGCAGGTGTACTCGCTCAGGGATGGGGGTGTTCTCCCTCACCTCATCCCAGTCCAGTCCTTGCAAAGTGAGGTAGTTTGTGGAGGGTGGGGGGCCATAGGTACAGCTGGTGGATTAGACTCATTTTCTGTCTTTGTTCTCTGTTTATAGCTCCTCTGACAACTCCTTAGCGACAGGACAACAGCTTTGGTACACAAAGGGTGGTGAGTGGAGGCCCCACCCTTTCAGGGGTCCTCCCAGACCCAACCCAGAAGGAGGCTGTGTTTAGGCCTGAGCTGGGGAGTGTGCCCTTGTTTCCTGTTTCAGCTGCTTCTAGCCCCTCAGGGCACTGAGCCCTCCTTTGCTCATGTCAAGAGGGATTAGGGTCTCCTTGGTGAGGGGAGGAGGAGATGGATTACCAGCAGAGAAGAGGGTGGGAAGGCACTACTGGTATAAGGTGTGGAGTTGGCGGTCTCTACACTTTGATCTGTAGCTTCTGCTCTGCAGCATCGAGTCTACCATCTTTGTTAGTATGTGTATGGTTAGAAAGTGAGGTTGAGGCTCGGCGCCTATAGCTCAACCGGCTAAGGCGCCAGCCACGTACACCTAAGGTGGCGGGTTCGAATCTCCATCCTGGACCCGCCAAACAACAGTGACGGCTGCAACCAAAAAAT